CATGTTAGTATTAGACACATGTGTTAGTATTAGACACACGTGTTTAGTATTAGACACATGTTTGTATTAGACACACGATGTTAGTATTAGACACATGTTAGTATTAGACACATGTTAGTATTAGACACATGTGTTAGTATTAGACACACATGTTAGTATTAGACACATGTGTTAGTATTAGACACACATGTTAGTATTAAACACATGTGTTAGTATTAGACACACATGTTAGTATCAGACACATGTTAGTATTAGACACATGTGTTAGTATTAGACACATGTGTTAGTATTAGACACACGTGTTAGTATTAGACACACATGTTAGTATTAGACACATGTTAGTATTAGACACACGTGTTAGTATTAGACACACATGTTAGTATTAGACACACGTGTTAGTATTAGACACACGTGTTAGTATTAGACACATGTGTTAGTATTAGACACACATGTGTTAGTATTAGACACACGTGTTAGTATTAGACACATGTGTTAGTATTAGACACACATGTGTTAGTATTAGACACACGTGTTAGTATTAGACACACATATTAGTATTAGACACATGTTAGTATTAGACACGTGTTAGTATTAGACACATGTGTTAGTATTAGACACACGTGTTAGTATTAGACACACGTGTTAGTATTATACACACATGTTAGTATTAGACACATGTTAGTATTAGACACATGTGTAGTATTAGACACATGTATTAGTATTAGACACACATGTTAGTATTAGACACACGTGTTAGTATTAGACACACGTGTTAGTATTAGACACATGTTAGTATTAGACACACATGTTAGTATTAGACACATGTGTTAGTATTAGACACATGTATTGGTATTAGACACACATGTTAGTATTAGACACACGTATTAGTATTAGACACACATGTTAGTATTAGACACATGTGTTAGTATTAGACGCACATGTTAGTATTAGACACATGTGTTAGTATTAGACACACATGTTAGTATCAGACACACATGTTAGTATTAGACACACATGTTAGTATTAGACACATGTGTTAGTATTAGACACACATGTTAACTTTGAGTGTAGCCGGTAATTATGTTATTCGTCGGGCGATGCTGTCGAAGTACACCCTATATTTTCCGTGCATGAGGTTTACAAATCTGGAAAAAATACTTACATTTTGATAAACATATCATGTCAAACCAAAGAAATATAGCTTTGCAGATTTTTGCAGCATCGTTCGAACGAATCTAAAATAGTATCGAATGAAACATACATCAGACGATAAAGAATATGCAGCACTACAAGGGAAACCGCTTAAGTACGCCCCCACAAGAGTTCAATGTGATGCGACACGTGTCAGAGGACAATATATATGATTACTGACTTATTTTGGTTGTGTTGTCATTGTGATGACAATATCAAGGGCACCGTGTATATGTACATGTATCAATCATGCAGATTACAATCGTTATGCAGTAGGAATCACGTCTAAAAAATCACATAAATAAAAACATTAAATTCATTATTATTCAAGTGCTGCAATACGCTGCGTTCAGTGACACTGTTATCGATCATATCATATCAGAATTTATGCCTTACAATCGTATTCTTATCACTTTCTAGGATAGACAAGATCCGTCTTAACGTTGTCATTGTTTTCCTGGAAAATAGTTCCACAGCACATAATTAATTCCAAATCAGATACGTGTATGAATTCAAGTGGGTAAAGACACTGGTTCTTAACCATTAGTCTAAGACTTGCACTTCATGCGAACTTGGTATTAAATGGATATTATGGTATTTGTTATTATCGCACAATTTTCTCGACTTTTAGCATATGGTTTTATTTTATACTGTTGCTCATGAAATACTGCCAACAAAAATATTGTCAACAAATTACTTTTCACACAAAAAATATATCACATTTTCGCATACAAAATGATGATATTACTGTGTATTATCATTGGTTCCAATGGTAAAATGGTTTCGTTGTATCTCGAAATTTCTTTTCAGGGCATATGGTAAGAAAATCATATGTAGTTAGGCGAGGGGTTCTTAGGGTGGTTCTGAGTTGTAGGGAGATTCTGACAAATACAATTTATTTGTTATGAATAACTGCCTTTATGATTTTCATGGAAATAGTTAAAGAATGTTCATTTTTGCATATTGTCAGACACTTTTCCGCCAATTAAATACTTCCTGGTAGCCAATAAGGACCAGCAGTTGACGACTAAGAACAAAAATTAACACATTTAGTCGAATGCCTGCGAACGAAACATTTAACGTCTACCGTGGCAATTGAGCAAAATTCGTTAAGAAAGTTCACATTCACTATATTTAATTCACTGCCAAATTAACATCATTCACACCAAGCATTCGTACTGCAATTCAGTGATGAACTGAATGTTGAATAAAATTATTACAATCTAGAAAAAGTTTGTAACAGTATAATACAATCAGATTAAAATATTATTGGCTTTTCTTCTTTCTTTCTTCTTTATTATTTGTAGTCTTCATTTCATTCGTGGAACTTCAAATACCTAGAATAGTCAACTAAATTGGTAAGGTCTATAAAGTGACTATACTTTTCGTGCGCAATCCCAAACATGATTGTAATCTATATAAAACATTCTCTAACCTGTTATTGAAGTATGCGAGAGTTGAACGAGATCTCAGATATTTGGGCTCTAGCGATTAAACAATGGCAAACAATTATGGTATTATAACATTATGATAATTAAAAAAACAATCCAAAAAACAAAAAAATCCAATTAGGTCAAAGTACGAAATTGCATACGCCATTCAAATAAATGTACGGCGCTATCTTCTCATTAAAATTAACTTCGAAGACTGTAATGACCTGTATATTACCACACTGGATGACGACTGATTTATTCCTTACGCTCACACAAACATTGAGTTTATGTTATGTTTAAAGGTGTTTTTTTTTTTGTAATGAGGTTTGCTTCACTTCTTTATATATTATTTGAATGGGGAGTGAACATAAGTATTTTAGCTTTGAATCATCCATTCTCATCAGCTTCCGTTCGACACAGCAGTGCCAACTTGCTGTTTGTTTTATTACTGCCACATCATTTACATGATTTACATTCTCGATTCATTCTCAATATATTTTTTGTTTATTATATACACGTCAAAGATATTCGCAATAAAACCAACATTATATAAAAAACACAGAATAAAGAAATCGAATCTGCTAAAAAACATATTGCTGAAAAACTCCACTTGTCAGATAATTTTATTATATGGTATCATAAAGGTGACATGCTGTATGTAGCAATGTGTCTGAGTACGGTCGCGTCTATGTTTTTTGATCGATGCTACTGTGGTATTTGATATGTGAAATTAAAAAACGGTATTCCCAAATTAGCAATTGTTTACTTCGTAGTTTAAACATTAAAATCATCAAATGCTATGCAAAGAACTGTAAAACTCAATAACCAACATTTCTAATTTTAATCAGATGTGTAAAAAATGCATTGATTAAAATCGATTAATCGACGTATACATATTTTCTTATACAAAATGTATTCCCTACAGGAATTGAGAATTAACTCATGCTAACCAACTTAGTGGGAAGCATTACATTGGTTATGTAAGTGTATTAAATGTTGTGTTGATATATATATATATATAATTTAATATAATACAATAGATTTTTGTCCAAAAAGAGCACATCATACAAGCGGTAATCTGAAAATGAAGAAATAGAATAGAATAGAATAGAATAGAATAGAATAGAATAGAATAGAATAGAATAGAATAGAATAGAATAGAATAGAATAAAATAAAATAAAATAAAATAAAATAGTTCTACTATATTTCTGAGCTTGTTTATATTTTTCAGTTTTCCAGCACTGCGTTAATATTTGTCAATGCAATATCTACACACATTGCATCTGTAGTCTGTTCGTGTCGTGAACGCTGTCTTCACAACATTAATCAGTCTGTGAAGTAGAATACAGCAGCTGTTGTCAAACAAAACAAAAACGCATCTCTCAACAGATTTTTCTATCTAAATCACATGAGTTCTAATGCTTATTTATTTGAAAATTGCATTAATATTTCATATTATTGAAAATACTCTGCCCCTGACCTCTTTTTTTAAATTCACATAACTGTAATCTGTCTAATGCCATTAGTCAAGATTAATATCATGATCCATCACAATTGACATTTTGATGAATATTTAATTAGTTCCGCAATGCACGGACTGTATGAATTTGAATCGCAATGAAGAGAAATGTTCCCTTATATATTTTCCACGTCAGTGAAAACAATAACAATGTAACTATATATATTCACATTGTCAATTTGTGTAATATAAAAATGTATTTCATGATCACTAACTATAGTTTTCATCATGTATAAATTTAGTGGTTTGTTGGTGTGTATATTGTAGAGGAAGGTGACTTGGGCTACCAATGAATATATTAGAATATTAAAGTCAATTAGGCAAGCAGTAGCGGCAGTCCATAACCATCTAGAATTGTCTAATTGCTGCTGTTTTACTACATGGAAACGCGTGGACGTGATCAATTAAACATTTTCCTGATATTGTCTTGGGTGTATTTCTCAAATAGAATACATGGTGAACTGGTGATATACGTTTTTATATCGTCACGTAACTATATTCTGGTTGTGGGGACTATTTGCTGGTTGATATAATGAGTAAAAGATCCTCTCGTGAATTACACAGGTAATATCATACCCGGGACTCCCTAAGTTGGTGAATATAAGTCGGCAGTACACTTGTTTACGATGGAGTGGCTGCTCATACAAACTACAGATTAGCGCTGTGAGACAATTCGACGCAATGCCGCACACGGCAGTGCTGTATCTTACCCGTGAAGAACGAGAGCGAAGTAAGAAGAAACCATGTTGTCCAAAATCATGTCGCCCTTATATGGTTCTCCACATAGTTCTGTTGGCGTACGTAGTTATTGGGGCGCTGATATTTCATAGCCTAGAGCGTGATCAGGGCAGTGGCATGGCGGCTAACTTGACTGCCATACGCCAACAAGTGACAGCTGATCTTCGCAAAAATAGGCATATGAATACACTCAATTGGAACGTACTGGTCGAGAACAATTTACAAAAATACGAAAAGCAAATGAGATTGTTCTACGAAAATGGCGCTAAGACGTCGCCGGGACATACTTGGAATTATCAGTCAGCGATGTATTTTTGCTTAACCGTGCTGAGCACTATCGGTAGGTATATATAATTTTACCATATCACTCATGCGTTATACCTTTAAAACAATCAATGTTAGTCGATAAGCTTCTATTATATGTTCGTCTATACATCCATACTTAGTATGCAAAGATGTGCACTAGGACTGACCACAACACAGTCACGTGTTACATGTACCTGATACAGTAGACTCAGTACTTGCTATTAATACGTGTATAGGTGAATAAATGCATTGATACACACATGTAAAGCATTTTAGATGCTAGTTGATATAATACAATAACTCAACACGGTACAGTTAAATAATAAACATTGAACACATATCACACACTAATATACAGCGCAATGCACTTCAACAAATGAATAGCAATAACGTTTGTATTTTTGAAATATCTAAATTAAACTAGAATAAACACCGACTCAAAGTCACATTAGGCATTCCACGAATAAAATTAAATAATCATATTAATATCACAATTACTCTATTCAGCTGCATAAGTTAGGTTATTTATAAAATGATTCAAGTTCATTTCTAGCAGTCACTGATAGTATATATTTCACACACGTTCTATGTTTGCCATGACGTGACAAGCATGCACAGTTCAATTAATGCTTTATGTACATGTCATCCACCTGCAGTCTTAATTTCTGAATCAATTGTTTATATACCCACGACATTTACAACAATTCTTGAAAACACACATTGCGACAATATATGTATATTATATTCTAAGCACGCGTACGTTCACACTATTCAGACGAATCTAATTACGTTAACAGAACATACTTTTCGGTCAATCTGGAATTGTTATTGAAATACGAAATGATGTTGTGTTTAGCGTAAAGTGACATGCTCCAAATAATAAGACCAGTACGGCGTCAACTTCTTACACTTGATAATACACAATTATACATATTTTGAATACTAGTGGAAAAAGCGTTCGACAAATCTCACACTAAGGTTATCATGACGTAATCCATTTGATTGTCCATATATGGTATGAAATGTAACATATATAATCAAATAAATAATATAATATATATAGAAACATAATATGAAAGAAAATAAGCATTCGATATATAATGTAGACTATGCAAAAATGGTTATGCACACTTCAGACTGAAAATAACAATCAAGTAGAATGAAACTAATAGAAGTAGTGTTCATTTCATTAAAGATGGAGACATCATCATTATATTGCAATAAATTTACGTCTGAATTAGAATCACACCAATTTAATATCCCAATTATTTATGATTTACGCTCTCACTGGATTAAAATAATAGCAACGCAGTCAAAAATAATGTTAAACATAACAGCATAACTATCATCGCTGTAATAAGGCATGGTGACGTCACTTTTTGTATCAGGTTATATTTTATTTTCACCACTTAGGGGTTGAGCAATGGTATTTTTATGTTATTTTAATGGAATCGAAAGTGTGTAATTGACCTAGTTTATAAAACGTATATTAGTCAAGTAGCTGTGGTCTCTGTATTGATAAGGAATACTCTGGAATATAACATGGAGAGTACACGTATGAAAGGTGCGTTAATGTATAGTCTTTATTATCCAGCCTACCGCTGTAAGCAGGTGTTCATCTTAGTTATAACACAGTTATCCATCAATAAAAGTAGGCTCCAAACAACGTCTAATGAAGGCGAATGAAAAAAAGATTGGAAAACATGCTGAAGCCGAATCACCGACGCTACAGACAACTAGTATATAAATAAAGCCATGTATTTCTGGTCATTATGATAAACGTACGATGAACAAGTGGTATAAATTTCCGTAATGCACACTTAGCACGTACAACCTGTAATATATATATGCCCTACGTGATTGTGTGTATTTGCTTTCTAAATTCAATCGATTGTAACCTTGCTAACATTTCCATTGTTCCACATTATTTCACTATACAATATGAATGACTAATATGCGTTTTAATTTTTTAGGTCTTAAATCGTTAACTTAAACTATTACAGGATACATTTGCTAGGTGTTTTAATTATTCATCAAACCTGAGTTTTCCATTTATTAATATAAATAATTTGTTTCCGTGCAATTGTATCGGCTTGCACAAAAACGGTTATACACAGTACCATACTGACACCTGACGCGTTATAAATACCATGGAACAATACGTTAATTAAACGTGATTAAACGTAAACTCATTGTACGTTTTACCGCACACAAGTCAGATTGTTTTAGACGTAATTTAAAGTCATATCAAGTTACCATCCATTATTTTACATAATTGATGGATATCTATCCGATATGTCACCTGGCATTACGAACATACATAATTCAACCAGGTTAAAAGCAGATGCGCCAGTCACATGGAGCGATGTATAATTACTTTTATTCTTACCATTTTTGCTGATTTTAAGATGTCACGTGTTTAATATTTTAAGAGTACATACATAAAGAATTCTACTTTGTTGTATGCATCCACGCAAATCACGTATACATTTAATTTCCGCCAGAGAATCGATAAATTCTAATACATTCCTAATTGGTGAGTCACGTGCAAATAGTGATGACTAAGAAAGGTGATTATAATTGTGGAAACAAACTGTATATTATATTAATTCAGTTATCGTTAAAAGGACTCAGTAGGGACTAATATTAGTATTGAAGATGTTATCCTTATAATTAAGGTCAACTGGAATCCCCGGACGTTGTCGATTCAATCATTCTATTAAATAGATTAAGGAATTAATTGACTTGGTACTACGATTGCATTATCATTATTGTTTTTAATAAATGTGTATAAGATAGACGAGAATTTCCCCTATTTTGAATAATAATAAAACAATTCTTGTCTTTAAACTCAAAATAAATGTAAGATGTAAACATGTTCTAAGTTTGGAATCAATTACATACTAATACATGCATGTGAGTCCCCATAGTGACATTAGGATGTATTTTTCTCGAATATTTACTGAGAATTCGTCAATAAAGTCTCAAGCGTGTCCTTTAAACATTAATATGTCTTGTTAATGTATCATATGAATGATGAACCTACACATAATGAGTGTTCCTTGGTGACAGTAAACAACACAATCACATGAACCTTTATTCACCCTGAGATGCACGTCCTTTTACAGTGTCGAGGTGCTATGCCGTGGTCAAGTTCGAAATCCTGTCTTGTGGGTATATATTCGTTAAATTACATACGTAAAAACCTACACAATTGAACCATTACAATTTGAACACAGTCAAAAGCTGCTGTTTTTCAGTGTACGAATTATACGTTGCAAAACACTCACTAAGAATAACAATTACACACTTAGCACAAAAACAAGTACATTGGGTTTAATTCTCACTTAATGTAATATTTAAAAAAATTGTAATACACAAAAACGTACGTTTCTTACCTTTGCTTCATTTTTTGTTTACATTAGGGTCCAGAAACCAACATTGGCTTTGTAAAGAAACACATGTGATAGTGAAAAGTGATGAATTTTGTATAGCGTTATGTGTTTTCCTAATGGTGGAACACCAAATTTAATGGCTTTGTAATAATAATAATCTTTATTGAAACCGTATCCCGGAGTGGGATCTTAGTTGAAAATACAATAAAGTAATACAAAAAAGATAGCAAACAAAAAAATTTTGTATTACTCAATTTTAGCGATTTTCAGCTTCCCCTTAAAATAAAGACTATAGTGGACGTGGAGAATTTGTTAATCTACGTTTCTCTGAATAGAGGCTTGGGGTGAAATATTTATAGATATATATGAAGCGTTTATGTATGTTCGAATCATTTTGACGCACAATTAAGATTAAAATTGTGACTTGAGCAAAGTGATTCGCGCAGCTAAAAGAGGTAGTATCGACACATACTTGCACTGTAAACGCAATGAGGTCATTGCTCTCGTAGTTAGGAGGCATCTCCCGCCATAACTAACTTCACCATATATTTGTAATTTCTCCTTGAAGTAGAGAACCTGAATAAATAAGTTGTGTCAGAAATACGTGGTAATCATGGTGTTTCGCGTTGTATATTTATGTTATGACAAGTTAATTACATTTTAAAAACAACAATCTACAATATTCAGTACAGAGTTAAAATTTGGGTGATTGATTACTATATTTATCCTATTTATATAAGTTATATGAATTCGTAACACTCGCGTGCAAGTCAAGTTGAATAAACACCATACTCCTACCTGCATCATACTGTAACACTTTAGACGTTCAAATTATAAAACCGTTCTATCACAAAATTTCATAGAGGTAAATATTCGTGATCATTCAGTAGCAACCACAAGACAATACGGTGCAATGCGGTCCACATGTAAATATGTTTGAAGGCCCTAGCTATTTATTTTTTGGAGTGTTATTGTGAACATAACTGAGCACATACTGTGAAATTGTCTTATGATTGTTGTCCATGAAATATAGCTCTCGCGAGTCACAGGGGGGGGGGTATGTTTATAAACTTTGGAGAGACTGAATATTTGTGCCTTTGGGTAATTATGTGAACACTCATACAGACACACAGCACGAAGCAATATTTGCTGGGTGCATTTCACTAACACATGTAATTAGATTGTCCATATAAAATATGCAAATGATGTATAAGTGATCGCCTATGAAGTAATGAGTGTAAGGGTCGGCAAGGGGTATTTTCGTAAGCTGTAATCAATTGTTTTTATTTTCGTAATGTTGTAATTTAAATAAATAAAAAAATGTAAAAGTGTAGACAGGAGCATGGTGTGAAATAAAATTAGTTATTTTATTCGTCCGTAAGTTGTATAAAGATCATATTTTTTCTAAGCGTATATATATTTCCAATTTTGTTTTATAAACACAAATTACCAAATATATTATAATAATGTAAAACGAATTGGACTTTTGCGTTATCTGTAATGTGTAAAAACCTATTTTTTACTGTAAATAGAACTTTCATTTTATTTCCTGTAAAAACGTAGAATGCCTTTATTATTTCCTGTAACCTGTACCAGCTACCCACTTCCCCCGTTCCATAATGATGTGAGAGTTAAAAAGTCCGACATTTTACGAGGTTGGAGCATGTGTAGACAAAAAAGATGAAACTTTAACAACTTTTTACAGGGGACAAATTGAGATATATTCTTGTAAGCTGTATATAGATATGATATAAGGATATGATAAATTGTGTTTTCCACAGGTATTCCCCTCGCCCCCTCCTCCCTCCACAGTTATCACTGACCACCCGACACTGTCTCAAAATACGCACCCATACATGTAGATATGTTCAACTGATTAACATATGCGCGCGATTATGGCAAGGAAATGCTATATTATGAACTAGATTTTACCTTTGTGGCACGTGATAACCAAGCTGAATAAATCCATTTTCTGTATTCTCAATGTCCTCCTCAATTATTAATGAATACATTTATGTCGCATATTTTTATCATCAATCTGCAGAAATTGTACACATTCATTGCACGTTGTTCTAGCTTATGACATTTACCCGACATAGTATAAATATTGAATCTATGTACGGATCAGATTACCGAAGTTCTGTAAGCAACATTAGCTAATTTAGAAAATATGGCTTATAGGGATATAGATGATTGATTTATTTGTTTGATGTACTATTTATGTACCGTGGTATATAAATATACTGACAGATTTATGTAAATATCTAATATATAAACATGTTCAATGGAATGCGATAAAACTGGTTATTTCCAATAATATTAGTGAATAAATGTTAGAATGAATTCCTAACGTTGTATGGTATGGTACTGTAAGGTACGTTTGTTTGAAAATTTTCTTTTATGTTATTTTACCCTGTGGAAGTTGTGTAAACACTAATGCGATGTATATTATATTCACATTATATTATAAGTAGCTGAATGAAACGAAGCTCGATTGGCTGCAAAGTAATACGATTTCATAGTAAAAATAAATGAACAAAGTACCATGTGTGTTATTTCAACTGGCGACACGACACCGACTCTGCACAATCCAGCTTGCCATGCAATCGACCATCACACATCATCGAAAAGGATGCTTATTCCACGCTTAGAACATGCAACCCTATTTATTTTACTTTGATTACTGCGATAGCGTTGAAGAAAAATGATTTATATATAAGTACAATACATACAAGTGCAATAACGAAATATTTTTTTATTTCAGGATACGGAAACATCGTCCCAGCAACTGAAGGTGGCAAATTATTTTGTGTTCCATATGCATTGATTGGAATTCCTTTATTTTTTCTTTATCTGGCAAAACTTGGCGAACTACTAGCATCTCCTTTGAAGAAGATATACAAAAAAATCGTTATCGGGGATAAAAGAAGAGTATGCAGCTCCAAACATACATCATCGGTGCACCGTACCGGGTCAGCCTCTTCATCGGCCCCGAAGGGAAGAGAACAGCGAGTGTGTAATAAAGACAACGATACACCTACACGAAATGACGGACCATGTTCCGTAGGTTGCAGTGCAGAACCTAGAAGCTCTTCACTGAAGCAGGGACAACACACAAAAGAATCTGGCAGTGAAACAGAAATTCAAGTTCCGATATATTTACTTGCGATATTGTTGATTGCGTACATTTTACTCAGCGCCCTGGTGTTCGCAAGTACTCAAGACGGCTGGAGTTATTTAGATGCCATGTACTTTTGTACCATCACTTACACAACCGTGGGTTTTGGAGACATGTTACCAAAGGTTGAGGATGGACCTACGGAGATATATCTCGAGGTTTTCATTCTTTGTGGTCTTATCCTTATGTCTACGTGTGTACATTTGACAATCACACGAATGAAAAACCTTTCTCATTTTCTGTTCGGAAACGGAAATGATCATGCGAGTGTCAGTGAATTCGAAGACGTCGAATCAAATAGTCCACATTGTGAAGAACAGAGTATTTTATATGTGAATAAATCAACAGCTATGACTCGTGACAATGTGTTGGATGCTGCAGCTGTGTGAACAATCTCGCTAGCTAGCTCGTGTATAGTTTGAAACACACACACACATTCTGTCACATTCAGTGATATTGGTTTGGATCGATATATGGCTAAGATGACGTATACCTTATTATATGCTGTGATTAAAACAAAACAGAATAATGTAGGGTTTACTATTAACAATATTTTAACTACAGTTATAATGTATGCAGTCCTAATTTTCATATAAAACTAACAAATGATTTGCAAAGTTTACGTATTATTGAATGCAATACCAACAATGCAGTGTTGTTAGTATTATTTTATGCTCGTTCGATGAATAGTTAAGAAAAATGATTATGTCCGTATTGATTCTGAATTAATATTTCAATAAACGATCATAAAGCAAACATTATTAACAGAGAATGTAAAACCCAGTGACGTAGGTTTAAAAAAAAACAAAGACAATAATCATCAAACCCTTACTTTCTATATTGGTCATTTAAATGAGTACAAACTCATGTGAGCAACATATATTTTTAATTTATTTTCATCGAATATTTCATGCATATTTGTGTGCCTTATTAATTATAATGCAAATGTACTATTGACGTCACAAATTAATATTTTGACCCTAGTTTCAAATTTGACATGTAATTACGAGAATTCTAGAATATACGTCTAAAACATCCATTATAAATCATCATCAAAGCATTGATCACTCATAGAAAAACCTTTCTTAGTATATTTATTTAATTACCTGAATGCAAATATCTCGCCTTTTTGAAAGCTAAATTAAGCAATCATTGTTCTATATTTCAATAATTGTGTACATATTGTCTTTGTATATATAATGGCTAATTAAGTCAAATGATACAATATTTCATCTACATTTGTGGACGTATTTTGGCGCCAGTCCTCCTCCATCAATCAAGATACTGTATGTAATACATTTTCGCCATATGTGTTTACAAACATAGTCACGATTTGAAACATCTGTGCATTTATATGTAACCGTTAATTGTATTGTACATGTTACTAGGTTTTATAAACATATGTAAATAATAATATTTATCATCGCGAACTTTACGTGAGAATCACTGAGAATTGGTGAGTTTTTCATTTTATCCCTTTATGGTATATATACATATCATTCTGTCTGTTTAGCGTGTTGATTAAACATTGAAGTGAATATATTAGGGTGTAATTGAGTCAAACCCATTTTCAATGCACGCCCTCTACAGGCAATTGATAACGAAGATATTGGGGATTTATGCAATTGTAATTTCATAATGAATGTAAAGCGATGACGGAAGCGAGGCTCACTCACTTCGGGTAGACGTGTACATGATTTTATCCTAATTTTTATAAACTTCTCCAAAAACTGACAAGAAAATATGGAAATCTTGATTAGCATCATCATTGAAGAATTGTTTTGTCATCACAACATTCTCCAACAGGTAAAAATTGACGTTGACTTGTAAAATTGATATTTACCATTGTTATTAACCTCGATTCGATTAAACTGATTTATCAAAAACTGTCAACTGTCAACTGTCTCCATGTATTAAGCCTAATATGAGAACATGACTGACCGACCAGGAACCTGTTTTGAGTACAATATCAATAAGCTCGGAAAGTACTCTTCATCGCATATTCTGTGTGTAATTGATTACGTCGTGGTGAGTAACATATTGATTTACATTTTTAATTTTTTTTTATGAAAATACATCGACGTCATGTTTTAACCGAATACAGAGTAAAAATGGTTGAATCCTAATAATGTGTACGGAAAGCTTGCATTAAGTTGTATGCCTTTTGAATCAGCTCTAAATGAATAAAATATTATGTGTACTACCATGTCATCGACAGTTACATGTTATAATATATGTAAATAACATTGTTGTGAAGTAGTTTAAATTAGAGTTGGTATTTACAGGGAAAGTACAAAGCATATTATATATGGCAGTGTTATTTTTGAGATTTAATGCTAGAAGAATAGCCGCGAAGTTTCAATCACCCATATTACATTTTATTTTATAAAATGAAGAGCGAAATATTTACACGCATCACGCAATGGCATCCCGATTTGAAGAGGTACTTATTTTTATTGATTTTGTTTGACCTCCAGTTTGTTTTAACAACTGTTTTACTTGTCTAATAAATACTACTTTAAATATCATGTCTGTTCCAATTATGGCCAAACAGAATATAACAAGTAAACGTTGTGTCCGTCTGTCCATAATAGTCATGTCGTCTTGTTCTATGTTATTTTCAATTGACAATGACAGTAAACTTGTCTTTTTCCTAGGCTGTTCATATTTGACCACGATAGTGACCTTGCCTTGTCCTAGGTTGTTCTTATTTGACCACGATAGTGACCTTGCCTTGTCCTAGGTTGTTCTTATTTGACCACGATAGTGACCTTGCCTTGTCCTAGGTTGTTCTTATTTGACCACGATAGTGACCTTGCCTTGTTCTAGGTTGTTCTTATTTGACCACGATAGTGACCTTGCCTTGTCCTAGGTTGTTCTTATTTGACCACGATAGTGACCTTGCCTTGTCCTAGGTTGTTCTTATTTGACCACGATAGTGACCTTGCCTTGTCCTAGGCTGTTCTTATTTGACCACGATAGTGACCTTGTCTTTTTCCTAGGCTGTTCTTATTTGACCACGATAGTGACCTTGCCTTGTTCTAGGTTGTTCTTATTTGACCACGATAGTGACCTTGCCTTGTCCTAGGCTGTTCTTATTTGACCACGATAGTGACCTTGCCTTGTTCTAGGTTGTTCTTATTTGACCACGATAGTGACCTTGCCTTGTCCTAGGCTGTTCTTATTTGACCACGATAGTGACCTTGTCTTTTTCCTAGGCTGTTCTTATTTGACCACGATAGTGACCTTGCCTTGTTCTAGGTTGTTCTTATTTGACCACGATAGTGACCTTGCCTTGTCCTAGGCTGTTCTTATTTGACCACGATAGTGACCTTGCCTTGTTCTAGTTGTTCTTATTTGACCACGATAGTGACCTTGCCTTGTCCTAGGCTGTTCTGTTCCCCTTGTCATACGTTGTTTTTTATTTGTTCATTGTTATGGATAACACAAACTTAATACGACTCGAACGAGCGTCCTCATGCTCAGTAAAAAAAGTTCAACAGAAGGGTATATCTAGTTTCGATGTAGAACGTAAATTCCATTGTAACATAACCTTTGCCGTGAATTCTTGATAAAGGTTTGATGCTTGATGCATATTATATCTTTAATATATATTGCACAACTAGACCGCAATCACCCCATTGGGCACACCAATATTGTCTCCGGGTATAACCGAGTATAAATATTTAATAATAGCGGTAATGCATTACGTCTAAATTCGTGTTCAGCATTTAAGATACTTGCCAATTTACCCAAGAGAAATTGGAACAAACCCATTCAACAATACACACAGTCACATCTGAGATAAAATCTTACATTATGAAGGTTGAATATAAACCGTAAATTTTATATTACTGAAACTATACGTTTATGAAATTGTGAAATCAGTCATAAGAGTATTACACAATTATATAACATAGTTAAACACTACCAACCAAGCCTACCCTATACTATCCCCTTTTCATTCTCTAGTGTCAAACAGATAACACTTAATCTATATTTACCGTCACAATATAATAAATTATTCTATTATTGTTTAAGAATTCGATTTGTATATGCACTAGTCAATTAAACATTATAAAACATTGCCGATGTTACACTAAGTGCATACTATTAGTAAACCATATGTTTTACACATATTATATTATTATTGTTATTACATTTATATTTCGGTTATCAAAGAGAAATACTACTTATATAAAAAAGAACAACAAAATCATCATACATATATCCTTGCAAGCCACGATTATCTAAGCGTAGATTTGAAAATGCTGTATGAAACAACTGTATCATAATCTAGTTATATTCTATAATAACAGTCTGAAACACTTGATCATACTCGTTAACGAATATCATCCAAAGAAGAAAACAAGTTTGAATACGAGAGTAAGTTTTCGTTAGAGCCTGGTTGAAGGGTGTTTTGTCGTGTTTGCGTTGACGACCGCTGTGTTCAAGCGGTCAAACGAATGCAATACAGTTGAAAATTTGCATATTTATTGACAAGCGATTCTAATTTGCATAGTAATTAGATATATACTGTAAAAGATTGTATTGTGCTCGCAGCGTCACTAGTTCAATGACATCTCTCTGCTGAGAGACAAAGTGCAATAACCTGCAGTCCGATCTCGGTCATTTGTTCTCGAAGTATACCTTTTTAAAAGCATGAAATTTGGTACAATTATATACGTTATGCATCGTAATATGTAAATTCACAAAAAAATTAATAACGCCAGAATTTGTACTGTAATGCCGCACAGCATAAAACACTTCCTAGTATGCCATCCTGTCTTTGACAGACAAGTTGTTATTATAATGCCAAAAGTATGTATTTATAAATGATTTTGAATGACATGTATATGGCCATGTTACAATGTTTAGTCATTCATTACTGTGAATTAAAATTAACTGACAATTTCAGTTTGCTAGAGAGTAAGGCTATGAATTTAAATAAGATATGCAAATTGTGATAGCAATTACAAACCATGAACTACGAACCTATGATGTCATCATTGATTACAACGTAGCATACTACGAATTGACATTTTAAACCACAGTAACAAAATAAGTATCATGATTTATATTTCAGTCAGTTTGACAGTGGTTGCCATGACATATACTGATAAAGGTTAATGACAAGACCAGATGGCGAGCTGGTCGAAATCAACCAAAAACATCTTATGACTCTGCAGTTTTTAAGATACAATACAGTAGCTGTAATCCTAAACCAATTTTGTTTGCGATTTTAACTAAGGTGGTATCTTTGTGGAATGTTAGTGCGAGACTATTACCACATCAATATTAGTTAGTGTTGACAATATATAGTAGTGTTTTTTTCTAGACAGCTTGACGAGTAATTAATTGATTATGATGTGTAAAACTTTCATGTGATTGGTTGTTTGTTTGAAGGCAAGGCCTTGGAGTCTCTTATACTGATTGTAATTGGTTAAGGAGTGACAAGAAATAAAGAGTGATTTAATGCTGTCTCGGGTGAAAACCAGGGACTTGGCAGAGAATCGTTTGGGAACATGAATGGAGCTCGTGTGCGTTTTTGTCAGCCTAGCGTGGAAACGACCGAATCCCGGTTACCTAAGTGAAAGGTTTTTAACCATCAAAAATACCTATCACATAAGTGTCACTGAGTAAGTCACATAAATTCGTAATAACGTACTAGGTCTTGCAGAATAAATCAAGTGAAATACTCGCCTACTCATCTTTGAATAAGTCTCGCGACAAATGTCAGCCCAGTCAACTCTCGATAACGTATATTAATAGTAAAAACACCACATCACATTATGTATACCATGGATTGTATATAAAATGGAAACTCAACTGACGCAGCAATGGGTCAGGATATGATTCGTTGTTCCCTTGTACATTGCCTTAATTTATTCACTCATTTATTTATTTTGTTGTTATCCCCTTACTTTTTGTATAGAAATTTGTCTGAAATATACTTATTAAATAGTATTCTTCTCTTACTGATTCAACTATGTAGTGTCGTGTACAGTTGTTGTTTTTGTTTTCCCCAAGTTGTCGCCAATCACTGTGTGTTCTTGCACTTCTGTTTAGGGAAACATGGTTGGTATGTTATTTTCATTCCTCAATTTATTGCCAATCCTTACTGAATAATGATATAGCCCAATTTGCCGACGTGTTGCGATTTGGGAGTGCGGGCAGAGGGGGCAGTCACCCACCCGAAAACATGTTGGATAGGGGGCGTCGCCAATTCAACTAATTCGTATTCAGGCATACATTACAAACCCAAATTAATTACATCATTGCATCTATTGATGAACACTGCATTCAAAGTTATGTGTGTCAGGCCAGTTATTGATAGGTGATCAATTATGTTTATTGAATAATCTATAACTATATTAATACATTCTAACCCAGTTGAGCAACTTGTAGCTGTTGAGATTTTTTTCTAAAAAATAAATTTCCTTGCAATATCACAACAGAAAATAAAAATAGATAATTGTAAATACGGGCAATTAAACCAGCACGCACTGCCATCTATTTGAGTTTATCAAGAAGTATTTCAAATTTTGTTATCTGATTTCCATTTTTTGTTACAGTTTCCAGTAAATATCATTGCAACATTCACACCGCATTGGAGAGACGTACGTCAAGTCCTATTTTATACTAGTTTATGCATTACACATTTGAATACTGTTTACAATATATAAGTCATTTATGTAACACCATTATAGAATTACTTATAGTGTGACGTGAATTTGGATTTTGATACAAAGAATGTTATACTAACGCGATAATTTTCATCTCAATGTATTCCCAAACCCTGGACAAGGAGTGAGGGAATACCAGAGCAAAAACATACAATCCGCAAATAATTTAGTAAGATCTCCCAGGGATCTGAAACTTCCTATTTACCACGACTTGTGTATGTCGAATAAATTCTACTGCTACAAAAGATCATGTTATTGCGATTTGAAAGCATCTTCGACGAAAATGTCGTATTCCTGCAAGTATCTTTCAACAATCAGATCCGAGACACGTGAATCATTCGAACACAGACTTCTTAGTTCCAATGTCAAATTGTTCTTCACGTCTGAGGTATTGAGCATCTTGGAATTACATACAGGTTTTACAACAACGCTGCTAAACGCTGCTCGAACTGATACATATTTGATTTAGTAGATAGTATTTGGTGATCGTTGTCCCGAGTAACTATTCGAAATAACAACAATATGGTGATGTAATGTATGGTGACCTAACGTATTATTTAGTCTTACTAACGAGTCAGGTCAGGTAGATGACTCCTTCATAGCAGATATGTCACACGGTTTTGTGAACTCAACGGTTCTGCATTGTGAGAACTTTTTAATGAATATCCATTGAGTGACTGTGCAATATCTTGTTTAACGAGTATAGTGATTTTGATTCGTTCCGAGCCTTTGGCATAGAATATAACTACATGGGTTCAATAAATACCATATTACACAGTGACGATTTTTGATATCCTATTTACCACATATGTAATTAGTACATAAATACAACATTAAAGCTTCGACAATATGATAACAGCAATGACAAAACTGAATATAAAATTGGCACATGTCTTCGAGTCGCTTAAGCATTGATAAAAATACCGTGCATGTTTAATTTTATTCGTTACGTGAATTTATAAAGCGTTTTATTATTGAAAATAAATTGGTGACGAGTGTAGATAATGTCGACAATGGGCAATGTGGCTATTATAGTTGCTCACTGTAGACTGCATACACAATTTAGACGGCTGTAACAGTCCGAAATGTGAATATTGCCGGACATAGTGCATAATATGAAGATTCCGTCATTATTTTTTTCACCATGCCTCATTTTTTATTCATGTACAGCCTTGCTAAATCTTGCTAAGCATTCGAAAGAGAGAATATTTGTACTTATATTTCAAAATAGTTTTTTGAGCATGTACCACTATTTACAAAGCTGCGAAATATTAACAGCTATAACCAATACTGTCCAGGTAATACAAACCTGCATCTATACCTTAAGTGATTTTTGGTTATCTTTTTAAATAAATTAGCTAATTAGTTACATATTAATTTTTATTTCAGTTCAATGTAACTTGGATGCAACACAGACAATACTAAGACGCTCCCGAGAGTAAAACTATTCTTGTAATCCACGTGATCAAATTCACTGATATCGTGATTACAAGTCATCTTTCGTTTCGACACTAAAATGTTTGCTGTCAATATTTAAAGGTTACAGTAGCATTAAAATATTCCTATGGCTTTAACGGAAATGTGTCCTGCAAATGATATGCGTTTTCCCATACAATTCACAATTCAGTTCACGTCCACAAGTCACTAGCGACGGGCGAGAATTCCCAGTTATTCTTAACATACGTGTTGCAAGAACTGAGCAATGGATGAGATATGAATGATAATATTTAACGTCGCCCTCACTATCGATGTTACGATACCACGATTACTTTCATCGCATAATCAAATTGGATTAAATACGCATTTCAGGATTTTAATACAAAATCTGTGCTACCGTTGCCGACGAAATACGAACCGTGCAATAGAAAGAAATCGATGTTGGTGCCTAGAAAGACTGGCTCTGCTCCGGCAATATTATTGTACTTCTTTTAAAAAAAATCTGGCACTGAACCATATACTGTACAAAGTCATTGTTATTATATTATTTTGAAAAACAATAAAATTGCCAAGATTATTCACATGATGTAATACGATTGCTATTCAGGGGTATTCAATACTATTACAAAATTGCAAAATTCTACTATATGCTTGTTGTAAATGGCCCAGCTACGTTAGAAATATTAATATAAATGACGACAGGTTACGTTACGTAACGTGAACGTAACGTGAACGTAACGTGAACGTGAACGTAACGTTAACGTATAGCTATGGTGAAGATAAATTAGTATTCGTAAATGTAATCGTCAAGCATTCGTGCTTGTGTCAGCTAGTGTATACATTATAAGTATGCAGTACATGCAAACATCGATGTTATGTCAGCCAGCCAGTAATTCTATGACTCACTAAGGTAAAACGTGTTCCATATAATATAGTCACAAACATATATGCGCATGCGTAATCCATACAAAACAGTGAATCACGTCTGGCGTGTTCTTCTCAACATGTTATTATAGAGCAGGGGCAGTAAATGTCATTTATATGTAATTCTGACTGTGGGTAAAATGTTTCATTCTAAGAAAGATACGCAAGTGTGTTCAGGAGAGACAGCTACCATGCGACAACGCAGTAAATCATGTCACGAAACAACACGTTTCACCAGTACGTTGCCTGTTTATTTAGCATCTTCTGTTTGTCTTGGTTTATACTCTGTGATAGGTGCATATGTATTCAGCATTGTTGAGAAACCTCTCTATGATTCCAAGGTGCTCAATATCTCAGACGTGAAGAACAATTTGACATTGGAACTAAGAAGCCTGTGTTCGAATGATTCACGTGTCTGGGATCTGATTGTTGAAAGATACTTGCAGGAATACGACATAGTCCTCGAAGATGCTTTCCAACATGGCGTCAGGCTTCAACTTGGTTACAACTGGGACTTGTCTTCTTCATTATTTTTCTGTCTAACGGTACTTAGCACAGTAGGTTAGTATTCATTCTACTTTCCGTAAACGCTACTAGGATTCTCTCAGTAATGCAATCGTCCTCTCTGGTTCTCCAAAATTTGAAACCTTTGTCCTTCACCTTATTATTTGTATTATTACATCTTAGTATGCATCTGTCACTGCATCCTATCTTAATAGGAAATAGAAATTTTAAATATGATGGGAAAGTTTTATAAGGGTCATATAACATGTACTGATATTATTAGGTTTTGCAACAAGGTGCTCAAAGTGGCTTTGTGTATACAATGCATTTGAAGCTAAATTATAAAATGATAAGTTCACGATGTGTTGGTTGTATCATTAAAAACAAACCCCCTTTATATTGTATGATTACGCAACAGTGTTTGGCGTTTTACACCAAACAGTGAATCGGGAAGTATATAATAATAATAATAATAATAATAATAATAATAATAATAATAAACTACACTAGCGTCGTCATGTAAACATATGCGGTATTAACCCCTTATTGCTAAAACAATAAAAAGCAAGAGTGAAATACTCGTAGACACGATGATGCGTATTTGTTTAGGAATATTTATTAAGTATGCAAAAGTGACATCTTGTCAAGAACCACAGAGTGTTTAAACAAAACTTGTCAAATGTCGCTATTGTGAGTTTTTGAGTCAAATTCTTTTAAATGAAGAACATTAACTTAATACCTTAAATGTTTCTTCTAATTCGAGCAAAATTTGGTGACTACGTCCCTACAAGAGATTGCAGTACAGTGGCGGATACAGGATTTTCGTATGGGTGTGTGTGTCAAACTTTAAAATCGCCAGACTAAGTTAATGATTTTTGTATATTATACAAAAACAAATTTAATATATTTTTCAACGGGGGAGGGGGTCCCGGACTCCAAGAACCCCCGAGTTCCGCCACTGCAGTATGCCTTTCGAAATGTCATTTGACATTGTTGTCTCGTACCGTGCATTGTGTATGATCTATTTGGAGAAATTCCAGATCTGTCAGCTATCCTACTCATAAATTAGCACACCATGTCATGTGATTAGCACACCATGTCATGTGATTAGCACACCATGTCATGTGATTAGCACACCATGTCATGTATCAGGATTTAAGCACAATGTAAGGCAGGCAGTTCAAATGTTAAGATCCAATCATAGTGTATCGTGGTATTTGTTGATGAAAGTGTACTATGGATATAGGTGATTATTTGTAGTGTGCGACCCGTAGTATGCAAATTAGACTGTAATAAAGAAAGTCTTCTTCGTACAATATCTAAGGCCGGTAGCTGTCTATACATCATGATTGTTTATTTATTTGTTAACACTGGATTATGTAAAACTTTAATTTGCATTTGAAAGGTGTATCCTTCGACTGGAAGCTATATAAGAGTGCATTGAAGTTTTGTGAAATGTTTTATTAGTAATCACATTTCTTACATCTAAATCCAAATATTTTTATTCAACTTTAATGTGGCAGCCTAGAAATACGAGATGCATTTGTCATTTTTATCCTCAAACATTTAAAAAATAATATTTATAATGTTTAGCTTTATGCTCATGCATACTTACTTCAAAACAAAATAAGTGAATTACTAATTTAAAGAATACATCATATTCATATTCATATTATGTTTTTTGTGCTTTTTGTGTTGTAGGATATGGAATGATGTCACCAGTTACAAAAATGGGTAAAATAATATGCATGTTTTACGCCATCATAGGAATCCCTTTCTTCTTCCTCTCACTCATGTTGTATGGACAGCTGTTGACACATCCAGTGAGGTCATTGTACAAGAAATACTATCGTCTACAAAAGCGATCAACAACTGTCGCAGCAAGGCTTGGCAGACAACTTTCTATGAAATTTTCAAATTCAACAAAATTTAACGATGACTGCGGTAACGCACATGAAAATGCAGAGGGTGATGATCAAGATGACGAAGAAGGAGGCGACTTTGGTCTGAGTTTGACAGATGACGGGTTTTCTGAGCCAGAGGCAGTTGTTCTTGGTAACATGTGTGACAACACAATTCGAGCAGGTACTTCGCGTAATGACAATACCATGCCAGAAGACAATACATTCATAAATCTGACAATCGAAAACGACAACAGTTTACATATTGACCGGCAGGTATCTTTCAATGAAATGGACCATGACGGAATCTGGGTTTTAAGTGACGATGAATGCAATGATTGGACACTTGATAACCCTAACGGAAGTGGAAACAGTTCATTAAACAGAAAAACCATTTATTCGGAATCGACCCCGCACAGAGAAGATTCGTGTACTAGCAGTATTGTAGAAGTCGACCTCAAAGACGAACACTTAGAAGTTTCCATAGTTTGGATAACCATTATGATGTTAGGGTACATTCTCATTGGTCCGTTAATTTTTCAACAATCTGATAACTGGACTTACTTAGACAGCGTTTATTTTCTCGTTATGACATTCACAACCATAGGATTCGGAGACATTGTCCCAAAATATAATGCAGATTTGGCAATTGTGCAAATGTTGAAAACTGAGACATATCTTTTTACCGGAATGTTGATTATGTCCACCTGCATTCATTTATGCCAAGAGCGAATTAAAGGTTTAGCTTCACTGATGTTTTATAAAGACAATAGCGTGGAGTGTAATAACAATTGGGACATACAACAGGTACATTTGCAAGTCTCTCATGAAGAAGGGCAATTTGACGATGTTGTTGTAGAATAGGAACTGTTTTCACTCGGGTTTTGATAAAGAGTAATTCGTTTTTTGTTATGAACCCTTGATTACCCCTGGAAATTAAAAATATATAGAAGAAATGCATGCCTTCATTTGACGGACAATATGGTGTAAATATGATGTGAGTTTACGGATGCATTATGGGATTAATATTGATAATGGATTTCTGTTTATGCTGGTCATGTGACTTTATTCAATATAAATCGATATATTACAGATAAGCATATATAACTAACAGCATAATGTCTACATGTGGATAAACTATTTGCTGATCATGTGACCTAATTATTTATGCAGATCTAGTTCCCATAGATATAATGTAGATACACATTCACTACTATCTGAATATTTTCTACATGTATAAAGAAACTTACATGATCTATTAGCTGTGACAAATTAATGACGCACATGAGATATAATTACATATGCATTTAATACTAAGGTGTGCAAATGGAGAAAGATATCTGTTTAGGTCATGTGACCTCATTAATTCTCAGAGTTCTATTATTAACCCACATTCGCCATACAACTGAATATTTTTCATGTGAACATTTTCAATAATTATTCACATATGTTGCCTATACCTGTGGATATTTTGAGTTTTATATGATGGATATATATTATATTTTTTGTAATTCTTATCATTGTGGAGCACCTCTGGTCAGAATTCCTTGAATTACGACGTTATATAGGTTGCAAATAATCGTATTTTTATCAGCTACAATGATATTATTTATATTTACATATATAGTTCAACATAGAGTATTATTTGCGTTGAAAAATACGTTTTTCAAATGTATTACTTGATTGAATGCAACATGAACTTTTAAAAACTGGAATCTAAATAACATAGAATGTCGTGTAAGTTGATTCAAATGAAGTTTTTATAAAGGAAAACAAGGCTCACTATTAAATCGTGCATATACTCTTAATATACTGGGTCAATATAATGCAAATGTTTATTCACAACTACTGTTGATATTAATATATATATATAGAGTGGGTGCAAACAATTCGAATAACTAACATTATTTCATTAATACTCATAGAAATATTGAGAGAAAGCAGGGCAGAGTAGAACAATGTTAAGATGCGTCTAGACGCTGATAAATTAAGACTGAACAACGATCGTATTACAGCCATCCCGACGAATAGTTTATGGAAACAATCGGTCACAACATTATGCATCGAAAAAGAAAATAGCAATATATTTTGGTTATTTGTTTCTCGCAGTGAACAAAAAGTTTACTATGTTCGTCTTCTTATTGTTATATCGTTTCTCTAAAAACAAATGGTAAAATCTCTAAGCGGAAAGCTGGGTGATGTTAGAGTCCCGTATAAATGCGCATGATACCTTTATAATTTGGCTGATTTTCAGGTATAGTATCAAATATGTCATTTGGTTTGCCGAATTATTTATCTGCGATTTGGTTTTGCTGATTTCCTCCTTTGTGATGAACGATTACGACCAGTTTTTGGCTCTATTTAACACAATATAAAAATGACAGTGGCGGATCGGGGGGGGGGGGTTCTTGTGGTCCGGACCCCTCTGTTGAAAAATTAATTCAATTTGTTTTTGTATAATATAAAAAATAAATCATTAAAGTTTGGACCCCCCATAAGAAAATCCTGTATCCGCCCCTGAAATGTACGTGTCTTTTCATGTTCGGATTTTCTTGATGTGCTCCTTTATTAAGCGAGATTCATCAAATATCTATCATTTTGTGTCCAGACTCCCTGACTACACTATGATATAGGTGTGCATTTGATTAACAATGCGAATTTAAATGATAATTTGAACAATAAAAATATAAGTAACACAACCCAAATATCACAGAGAAAAAATTGTATATAACGAACTTACATTTGCATCATTTGATTCTGATATACAAATTTCTGATGTGGGGAATCTTTTTTTAGATTATGCCATGATAGCTTAATTTTGTTGTCAGTAATATAAGTAAGGTTAACTTTAATGAATTCATTCTCGATGTATATTATTAATATGGCTCTTTTCGTCTTAATAGACGGTCAAAGCAGCATGTATGTGACCACTGCTTTAGGGGCTCTTCCTCCGATTTTTTGTATACGGTTTACTCCCTTAGCCTTTCATACTCCCGTATGTTCCTACAAGGCAGCAGTGATTTTTCTTTCAGGGTTTACTTTCGTAGCATTTCATACTCCCGTATGTTCCTACAAGGCAGCAGTGATTTTTCTTACAGGGTTTACTCCCTTAGCCTTTCATACTCCCGTATGTTCCTACAAGGCAGCAGTGATTTTTTATTCAGGGTTTACTCCCTTAGCCATTCATACTCCCATATGTTCCTACAAGGCAGCAATGATTTTTCTTACAGGGTTTACTCCCTTAGCCTTTCATACTTCCACATGTTCCTACAAGGCAGCAGTAATTTTTCTTTCAGGGTTTACTCCCTTAGCCTTTCATACTCCCGTATGTTCCTACAAGGCAGCAGTAATTTTTCTTTTAGGGTTTACTCCCTTAGCCTTTCATACTCCCGTATGTTTCTACAAGGCAGCAGTAATTTTTCTTTCAGAGTTTACTCCCTCAGCCTTTCATACTCCCGTATATTCCTACAAGGCAGCAGTGATTTTTCTTTCAGGGTTTACTCCCTTAGCCTTTCATACTCCCGTATGTTACTACAAGGCAGCAGTGATTTTTCTTTCAGGGTTTACTTTCTTAGCATTTCATACTCCTGTATGTTCATACAAGGCAGCAGTGATTTTTTCTTACAGGGTTTACTCCCTTAGCATTTCATACTCCCGTATGTTCCTACAAGGCAGCAGTGATTTTTCTTACAGGGTTTACTCCCTTAGCCTTTCATACTCTAGTATGTACCTACAAGGCAGCAGTAATTTTTTTATTCAGGGTGTACTCCCTTAGCTTTTCATACTCCCGTATGTTCCTACAAGGCAGCAGTAATTTGTCTTTCAGGGTTTACTCCCTTAGCCATTCATACTCCTATCAGGGGTAAATTCTTCTCCACGGGGTCTCCACACTTGCCAGGGGGAAATTCTCTTCTCGTCTCCATATCTCGTCACCTTGAGGTGCGGGATCGGGAAAGTCACTTTAACTTTACAGTCAAATAAGACACACACTCAACGAAATACGTTTCAGCTCTCGTCTTAGTCGGTCAATCGAGCACTCTATAAGACACAGCGCCCTGGGGAAAAATCCCCTAGACTATCACAAGGCTGACCCAAGATTCGCCCAAGACTGCGTCAAGGCTCGCCCCAAGTCTCTCCAGGACTGGCCTCAGACTCTCCAGGACTGCGTCTTTCGAGGAGTACTTGCCAAGACCAACTCAAACTCTCTTTATTCATTTTCAAAACTCTAACCAATTACAATGCAGAAAAAAGACTCTAGGGCATAACCTTCAATCATAAACCCAATCACACTAAGTACTGAATACGTCATATCTTTTGATTAATCGTTCACTACATTAATAACTACGGATACCAACTGTCAGAATCGATAGAATAGCGACGGTTATCTGGTAATTAGTTCCAAATCACTGAGCCAAGTTCCGTCCAAAACTTCAAATAGGTCTAAACGATGACAGACATAACACAGCAATTCAGCTAATAATCAGCTAATTAAGTCGGTCAACAGATACGCAAAAACAAATTCATGACACTCCCGTATGTACCTACAAGGCAGCAGTATTTTTTTTTATACAGGGTTTACTCCCTTAGCCTTTCATATTCCCGTATGTTCCTACGAAGCAGCAGTGATTTTTCTTTCATGGTTTACTTTCTTAGCCTTTCATACTCCCGTATGTTTCTACAAGGAAGCATTGATTTTTCTTTCATGGTTTACACCCTTAGCCTTTCATACTCCAGTATGTACCTACAAGGCAGCAGTAATTTTTTTATTCAGGGTGTACTCCCTTAGCCTTTCATACTCCCGTATGTTCCTACAAGGCAGCAGTAATTTGTCTTTCAGGGTTTACTCCTTTAGCCTTTCATACTCCCGTATGTTCCTACAAGGCAGCAGTGATTTTTCTTTCATGGTTTACTTTCTCAGCCTTTCATACTCCCGTATGTTCCTACAAGGCAGCAGTGATTTTTCATTCAGGGTTTACTCCCTTAGCCTTTCATACTCCCGCATGTTCCTACATGGCAGCAGCAATTTTTCTTTCAGGGTTTACTCCCTTAGCCTTTCATACTCCCGCATGTTCCTACAAGGCAGCAGTGATTTTTCTTTCAGGCTTTAGTCCCTTAGCCTTTCATACTCCCGTATGTTCCTACAAGGCAGTAGGAACAGAAGCAGGTAGTACCATCTATTGTCATAATGGTAGCATTATGTAGTTAATAAATAGTATTAAGAAGGACAAAATAATTTAAACACAGTATACGATATTTTGGTCGGACAAATAATGAGTATACTTTATTATCGTTTAAATCGTTTTTACACATTTATTTTATCGGTCTGTGATATCTAGCGATTAATATCCTGTTTCCATAAAACATAAAGAAGCACTAGCTCTCTGTAGCAGCTAAAAGAAAATTGTTCCTCTATCCATATATCATGTATCTGACGATGGGTTTATCTCTCTACACTTGCTTTTATATTCGATTTGTAATTACTGTACATATATTGTACATGTATAGTATTGTCATTAACTACAATATATAATCAATAAAGTTTAACCATAATTTATCGCTATGCAATTATGTACAATGCCCTGTTATATTATGGGTTATAGTATTATAACGGTTTCTGTCACAGTAACGGGGAAGATTATACGTTTGTTATATGCCACCATTGGTATGTCTAAATACTTTTTATCATATATGGCCAATATGTGATATATCATTTTAAGGTATTGTATAGCCAAGTCGTTGTAGCACAAGGCTGGTTCAGATCAGTAACATTGTTTCGCCGTAAAAGTTTGGCAGTGATTCTCTGTAATCTAAATAACTCAGTTGAAAATGGATGTAGTAAAGATAGTGATTTTGATTGCGCTTCA